CATGTAGCGTGCCCTGGGACGCGTGTGTCAGATGAGCGGAGACAGCCAGTCCCTCAGCCACGGTGGGCTCAGTCCATGCCATGGGTCATTTAATGTTCACGCCAGTTGTGCTTACTGGAAAGTCTCTTACGAGGGCAGGAAAGTATATCTGCCAGTGGGTCTGAGCAAAGTGTTTTGAGATTCTAAACCTCTACATGTTCCAATTATTTTACAGAGAAGCCCATAGTATACCCTGGGATTGCTGTATTTTTCCAGAATGCCTTCATCTTTTTTGGGTAAGTTTATTTTTCATTCTTTATCTTGTCGGTTTTTTGTTGTTGTTGTTGTTAATAATAGCTTCTGTTACATCATTGACTATATTTAGTTGCTTAATTTGCCTCTGTCTGATGGTCCTCCCCTGTTATTTTCTTAAAGTATCAAGAATGAGGTTGAGGAGGACATTTTTTAATACAGGGGTTGGTTTGTTGCCAACCTTGGGAACATATATTAATTTTTTAAATCGCCACCAGACCTCCTTTAATGAATAACTTTCGTGTAGGTTTAGTTACGCGACTCTGACGATGTTTATTTTAAACCTAGATCTCTTAACAGCTGCTTTTAATGAAATCTTGCTTGAAACCATTTCTACTTAAATTCCGGTTTCTGGATGCATTTTGTAGCTCTTTTATCCTTAGTGTTATTCGAGTTTGTGGGTAGATTCGAGATAGGAAAGAAAAGCCGTCCCATGGTTTCTCCTGATGCAATTACTGATAAGCTGGAGCGGTCATGGTCATGGTCATCTCTGCTGCTTGTTCATCCTGGAAACCAGGGGCCTGCCCTTCCCCTTTCTGACCACGCCCCCAGCCAGGAAGCAAAACAGAACTCTCCATCGGCTGGGCTGCCTCGGAGTCCTTGACCTCCGTTCCATGGGCCCCTGAGGGTGGGGAGTCAGGCGAACCTGGTGTCCCGCTCACTTCTGGACAGGCAGAGTCTCTGGCTTTCACGGATTTTCAGAGAGAAGTCCCCAGTCCAAAAAAAGGTTAAGACACTGCTGTGTTCCTTCTCTGTCCCTCCCGCCACCTCCCGGTGGCCGCTCACACCACGTCTGTCCTGTTCCACCAGCAGGTGTTTTGGCAACTCTATAAAGTCAGTTTGGAAATACAGAGAAGGTAAACTTAGATCTGGCGAGGTGCACAGCCCCTTTGGATCCTACCTTGTGTCCAGAAACTCGTGGAGAAACTTCAAAGGGTTAAGAAAAAAAAAGGAGCAAAGCCACTGACTTTCACTAATGACCGAGGGCTGTTGAGCAGTCACCATGTTCCAGGCATGTCCTGTCAGTCACCTGCCCCAGCAGCCCTGGAGCTGGCCCCGCATTGTCCTGTTTACATGGGAGACACAGGCACAGAGAAGTTAGGTGACTTCCGCGAGACCACGCGGCAAAATTCAGACAGAAGCATGGAATGGGAGTGGGTGTGGTGCTTTGTGTTCACGTGAGGGAGGCTGTGTGTTTCTAATGCCTCTCCCTTTCAAGGACGGGGCGGCCTGAATTTTGGCTTTTCCCAGAGAACTGGCATATCTGGCACAGGGGCGCACCCCACCATCAGCCGGAGCTGAGTGCTTGTTGCTTTGGGTGGGGGCATCTGCACACAGCCCCATTTCGTTCTGCATTGCGGGCGCTCAGCACCGACGTCCCCTCACGAGCACACGCCCCGGCCCCCGGGCGAGACTCGCCACCCCGACAGTTGCCGTCCCATAAGCTGTAACCTGGCCATGCTGAGTCCCTCCCTGTTGTGTCACAGCTCCAGCGTCTTTGACACCTGCGAGTGCCCTCCTCGGCATCTTTAAGTTGAAGCGTAGATGCCCGTGCGCCCCCTCACCTGACCCAGCCTGTGAGCCCTGGGAGGCAGTGTCCCTGACGCCCTGCGCTCGTGGCGTCCACGCTGTGCGCCTTCCTCTCCCTGAAACACCTTCCTCAGCATCCCGCTGGCTCTCTTCCTCCCGGCCTCCCGGTCAGACCCCCCCTTGATCCGGTAAAGCCCATCTCAAGTACTTCCCACCCTGTAAATCCTGGTCCAGCTCGTCCGTGGTTCTACGCTCCTTTACTGACGTATGGTGAATGAGCCTCTCCCCTTCGCCCCAGTCCCTCAGCACCTCACCAAGCACGCAAGCCGCCTGAGGCCTCTATGGCCCTAGCACTAGACACCAGGACACTCCAAAATGTGTGTTGAATAAATGTGATAAAATCAAACATATGATAATTAGGTACTAAACTTTGGTCAACTTTTTGAAGTCACATGTGCAGGGACAATGAGGTAACAGCACAGTTGAGTATGATGTAAGATTTTACTATCTTGGGGCCTGCACTGTGGCGTAGCGGGTAAAGCCGCCGTCTGTGGTGCTGGCATCCCACGTGGGCACTGGTTCAGGTACTGGCTGCTCCACTTCTGATCCAGCTCTCTGCTAATGTGCCTGGGAAGACAGTGCTAAGATGGCCCGAGTTCTTGGGCCCCTGCACCCGTGTGGGAGACCCAGAAGAAGCTCCTGGCTCCTGGCTTCAGATCAGTGCAGCTCCAGCCATTGCAGCCAACTGGGGAGTGAACCAGCAGATGGAAGACTTACCTCTTTCTCTCTCTCTCTGTGTCTCTCCCTCCCTCCCTCTCTCTGCCTCTCTGTAACTCTGCCTTTCAAATAAATAAATAAATCTTTTAAAAAAATTACTACCTTAGAATGACCAGTTTCTGCTTGGATACATTCCATGTCAGATTGTTTCATACAACTCATCAAAGGTTGATTGGAAAGGCAGAGTGATCGACAGAGATCCTCTGTCCCCTGGTCCCTAATAGCCAGGGCTGCACCAGGCCAGAGCCAAGAACCTGGAGCTCCATCGGGCTCTCCCACCTGGGTGGCTGGGAACTGAAGTGCTTGGGCCGTCACCTGCTGCTTCCCAAGTACATTAGCAGGGACTGGAAGCGGAGTAGCCAGGACTCAACCCACAGCTCGATTTGGGATGAGGCTGTCCTACGCAGCGACTGCACGCCCTCTGCTGCAGCGTGGTGTCCACTGCTAATTATTTGTTCCTTCCCACCGTTCTGAGCCTCAGTACTCGTCCTCCTCCCTTGTGACGTGATACTCCTTATCTTAATCGTGTGATGTTTCTTCTCTTATTCATAGAGGGCTGGTTTTTAAGTTTGGCCGCACTGAAGACCTGTGGCAGTGAAAACCTGACTTCCTGTAGCGTGGAGCCCCGCGTGCGTGGATTTCTACTGCTCACTGCCAGCCGTTTTGTAATGCCGTTTTGTAAACCTCCTGAGTCTGGGCTTGGCTTACCGCTGTGTAACACTGAAATCATGAGAACTCTTCCTGTTTCAGCAACAACAGGGTGTTATGGTATGCACTTGATTAACTTATAACACGTTAAACTGTCCCACACGCGTCATTTTTGTCAAGTTTTATCATGGTATAGTTTGTAAAAATAAAAGTCAGTTACAGGAGAAATCGTGCGTATGTGTTCCTTCTGAAGTCCAGAACTCTGCGTGAGCGCTCTGAAGGTTGCGTTCACTGGACGTGGCCTCTTCACGTCGGGTGTTCAGCCTGTGTCAGCAGCCACCGTGTGGGGCGCCAGCACCGCTGCGCCACGACGCGGCCCTGGCTCCGCTTTGAGCCGTTTTCAGTGGTGAGAATTCGTGCTCACGGTGCTTTGGCTTATGCGGTGTCACCGGTGTCCTGTCAGCGTTTGCACCTCACGAGCATTTCGGGGCCTCCCAAGAAGGGGGTGACCACGCTGGAGGAGAGAGCCCAGAGTCCTCTGACCAGGCGTCTCGGGGCCCGTCTGTGGGGCTCTGTGCCACTGTGCCCCGTGGTCACTGCACGGGCACCGCTGGGGAAGAAGGAAGAGCATGGGGCCCGGCTCGTCTCGTGCTCGGGTAGCAGTGTCTGTCTGTTCGAATAATGAACTGGATTCCATGTTTCACTTTACTTCTGCCCTGGGCCACTAAGCTTGATGGACCGGCAAGGTCGATCGCCGGGGCCAACAGCTGTGTTTTCTCCCGGGCTCTGCACCCCAGTCAAGTGGGGTGCACGCCCTTCAGAACTACAGTTTGCCATGTCGCCCTGCTAACGCGTGCCACGATTGGCCCTGCGTGAACCAGAGTTCTCCTTGTGATTTCCCTGTGGGGCTCCTCCCACATCAGCCAGAGTCCTAGGCCGTGTTCTGGGTGTTGTCTGGTTACCAAGACATGACTCAAAGTCAAGACCGCATTGCTGCCACCTCTTGTGTTTTCACATGAAGGCACAGGACAGGCACTGGAGAGGATCTTTGAAGTCACCCTCTCTCTGCACAGGAGGAACCCCAGAGCATGGAAATCAAAACAATCTCAAGGTGAGAGAAGTCGCCTCCAAAGCCAAGGCAACGCGTCCTCACCCTGCACGCAACCCCAGCCTCTCCCTGTAGTGCAGTTCGCAGTGTGCTCGGGACACCGTGTCTGCTAAGACTGTAGAAATCAAAGCTTTACATCTGGGGGCCGGCGCTGAGGCACTGTGGGCTGAGCTGCCACCTGCATCACCGGCGTCCCACGTGGGTGCAGGTTCGAGTCCCGGCTGCACCACTTCCGACCCAGCTCCCTGCTGACGTGTCTGGGAAAGCAGCAAAGGATGATGGCCCAAGTTTCTGGGCCCCTGCACCCATGTGGGAGACCCAGATGGAGTTTCTGGCTCCTGACTTAGGCCTGGCCCAGCCCTGGCTGTTGTGGCCATTTGGAGAGTAAATCAGCAGATGGAAGATCTCTGCTTCTCAGTGTCTAACTCTGCCTCTCAAATCAAATAAATCTTAAAGAAACAAAAAAGCGTTATAAGTTTGCCGTTGTCTGCACTGCTGATGGAGGCAAGAGGTGATCTGGGGGCATGAGAAAGAATCCAGGCACAGTCAATAAAATTGAGCCAAAACCTTAATTACATCTGCAGCCTAGAAAACCATGATATTTAATGAAACCAGAACTGGTATTAAATTAGCACGAAAACAAATCTTTGATCTTTTGTTTTTTAATATGCAGTGACACCTGACCCTGTTTCCTTGCATGGGAGGGGACGTGGCCGTGATGAGTGCGGCACACGAAGCTGGGCAACGTGGCTTCCACGCAGCTCTCGTCTCCCGTGGACCTGCTTGCTTAAAATCCAGCAGCCAGATGAGGAAACTGTTAGGGTAGAGCAGAGCAAACGCCAGTGTTAGCATGAACCATTCAGCGCTGGATTTGTCTGTACACTGCCAACCTCACCCCTTGAAACTCACCAACCTCCGGGTCTCCTGTGAACAACTGCGGGGGTGGGGGGGACCTTTTCTCTGTCAAGGGCCATCTGGAGACTTAGAACCTCATTCAGGGCCAAAGCTCAGCCTTTGCACTGAGCCTGCTGCAGCTCTGTGGAATTGGAGCCCCGCCTGCACCCCGCCTGCAGTTGCCTCTGAAGGGCCAGAGCAAATGATTGCGCAGGTGGACACCTGCCCTGGAGGCTCCTTCATGGAATCCGGATTAGAAGAGAAGTTGGACAAGTCTGTGTGAGGCTCTTCCTGGGTCACTGGTAGTTCAATGCCTCCAGTGACGGGGCTCACCTCTGCCACATGCGGTAGCTCACGCCCTTTTACACGTTTGGATAGCAGCTCCCAGAGGAAAAACTTTCCCTCTTCTGCCTGCCAGTCTTTTCAGTTTTCCAAAGAGAGTCCTTAGGTTCCCTGGGGGTCTTCTCTTGCCATCTGGGTATGTCCTTGGTTCTCGCTGGGCTGTGTTACAGCCTGGGATATGGTACCACAGCTTGTGGAGTAACCTTGGCCCACAGAGCAGTGGAGCTGGGAGTCAGGGTAGCTAACAGCCAGGAGCTGTGTTTTTGTTTGTTTGTTTTTGACAGAGACAGAGAAACAGTGAGAGAAAGAGACAGAAAGGTCTTCCTTCCGTTGCCTCACTCCTCAAATGGCCGCTACGGCCAGCCAATCCAAAGCCAGGAGCCAAGTGCAGGGGCCCAAGCACTTGGGCCATCCTCCACTGCCCTCCTGGGCCACAGCAGAGAGCTGGACTGGAGGAGCAGCAACCGGGACTAGAACCCGGCGCCCATATGGGATGCTGGCGCTGCAGGCGGAGGATTAACCAAATGAGCCATGGCGCCAGCCCCAGCAATAAAGCCATTTAAAAGCGAAACTGCAGGGGCCTGCGCTGAGGTGTAGTGTGTAAAGCCGCCGCCTGCAGTACCAGCATCCCATATGGGCGCCGGTTCGAGTCCCGGCTGCTCCACTTCCAATCCAGCTCTCTGCTATGGCCTGGGAAAGCAGTGGAAGATGGCCCAAGTTCTTGGGCCCCTGCACCCACCTGGGAGACCCAAAAGAAGCTCCTGGCTCCTAGCTTCAGATCAGCCAAGCTCTGGCTGTTGCAGCCATATGGGGAGTGAACCAACAGATGGAAGACCTCTCCCTGCCTCTGCCTCTCTAACTCTGCCTTTCAAATAAATAAATAGCTTAAAAAAAAAAAAAGCTGCGGAGGTGCGCACGTGGTGTTTGGGACACCCATGTGCCGTACTGGAGTCCCTGAGTTTGAGTCCCAGCCTCTCTATAACATGAACCTGGGAGGCAGCACATGATGGCCCAGGTGCCAGGGGCCTGCCACCCACCTGGGAGACCTGGATTGAATACCAGGCTCTTGGCTTTGGTTCGGCTCAGCCCAGCCCTGGCTATTGTGAGCATTTGGGGAGTGAACCAGTAGACGGAGGATCTCTCTCTCCCCCCTCCTCCACCCCGCCTTTCAAATAGAATAAACAAACGCACTTAAACACATCTCTTTTTTGCTTGTTTCTTGACTCCCATAAACACCAAGTTCCCATCTACAGCAGAAACCCTGTCAAGTTCATGCACTTGAAATCTAGCATATTATGGGTTAAAACTCTTACCTCCCAGAAGGCTTGGTCATCAAAAAATTTTGCCACATGAGGTGCTCTCCATATTTTGAGATTTAGGACCAAACCTGTTTAAATTCACAATAAAATGTTACAACATTTGGAGCACAGCACTCATCTCAGTATGAGTGGGAATGATGTAGCTCGACCCTGGGACCTTGAAAGAAAGCTGTTTGCTTCTGTTCTCAGGAAGTAAGACAAATGCAAACCCCGTCCTCCTGGGGCAGCCCGATCAGGTCCATGGACATCGAACAGGACTGGCAGGAGCCACGCGCAAAGGACTGAGCCTACCCTGAGTGGTGTCCGAGATCTGACGGCCTTCCCAAGCCAGGGTAGCAGGGCTCCGACAGACGGCGCCCAGCTAAAGAGTAGGTGCAACCAAAACACAGGTGCTACCACGGAGAGCAACTCCAACACGCTCGCTCACGTCAAGTCACTCTTGTGCCTGCCTCCCCTCCCCCACTGCCTGGCGCCTCTGCCCAGAGCACCTGACCCAATTCAATCCCGGCTCCACCGGGACAGCTGCATCTCCCAGGATACATTAAGTGAACGCTTGCCTGTCGTGTGGGACAGGAAGACGTTCCTGATGACGCGTCTGCGTGTCTTTCACGATCAGTCCCGGTGTATGAAAGAACAGATTAACGCAGGCAGGTGCGAGCTCAGTGCAATTCAGGTTCTCCTCGCGCGGTGTGTGCCTTTAACTGGCACTGGTGTGCGGGCACAACCGGCACCCCGCACACACCTGGGCTCACTCAGAAGTAGCCCCTACCGCCCACGTGGATTTGCCAGACAGCTGAGGCTTCACTCCCCACCGATGGAAACCTGGCTCACAGATCTTTTCCTGTCCCATGAGACAACACTGAACATAGGAGAGTTCTTCACAAAGTGTGTGGAAGAATGGAATTAAAAGTGTGTGTTGGGGCTGGCATCGTGGCGTAGTGGGCTAAGCCACTGCCTGCAGTACAGGCATCCCATATGGCCACCACTTTGAGTCCCGGCTGCTCCACTTCCAATCCAGCTCCCTGCTAGTGCACCTGGGAAAGCAGCAGAGGATGGCTCAAGTGCGTGGGCCCCTGTACCCACGTGGGAGACGTGGATGAAGCTCCTAGTTCCTGGTTTCGGCCTGGCCCAGCCCCAGCCATTGTGGCCATCTGGGGAGTGAACCAGCAGATGGAAGATTCTCTCTCTCAACTCTGACGTCCAAGTAAAAAATAAATAAATCTTTAAAAAACATAGATGGTGTGTGTGGCCGGCACTGTGGTCCAGAGACAGGACGGGGGTGTGTTCGAGGCCACACAGCTCACTGGGGAGCGCTGTGCCACTATTCTGTGTGCGTTCTGGCGTCGACCCCTGCCTGGGGCATCTAACCAATAGATGTTCGCTTGTAGAACATAAGTGGACAGGTCTGGACAGGTGCACATGGTGCCTGTTGTACAGGAAGACTGGCTAATTAGTAACTCCCTGAGAGCCTCTGCTGTTCCATCGCCTTGCAGGAGCAGACACCCCCCTCCCCCCCTGTCTAGAGACCGCCCAGGGCTTCCAGGCCCCTTCTACCACTCGGCCCGCATGCCCTCCACGTGGGTCACACTGTTCTCCCTGCTGACCCCCAGACACGCAAACATGCTCCTGCCCCAGGACCTTGGCACCTGCTGCCCTCTGCGTGAAGTGCTCTTTCCTGGAGATGATGCCTTCCCCTGGGTCTCCCAGCTTCTCCGCGAGCTTCCCCCGCCCCGGGCTGCGTGTGTGGGCGTCCCTCATAGCACTCCCACCCTCTGACCCCATATACCTTGTCTGGCTGTTTATTATCGATACCCTCTCTGCTGCGAGTGGCAGCCCGGGGAGGTCAGGAAATTCGCTGTTCACTGTGGTGTCCCTAGTGCCTGGTTCCTCCTTAAAGACTGAAGATACTCGCTGAGTGACAGTATCGTGCTGTCTTAGGCAGCAGAAGGTAGGCTCCTGGGCATAAGGGTTCCTTGGCCTTCGGTGCACACTGGGCGCAAACACCAGCCTGGGCGCGAGAGGCCCCAGCCCGACACACACCGAGAGCCCGGTGAAGGCCTGCCTTTCCCCGGCCTGAGTCTGCAGCAGGCGACTTCTAAAAGGGCCTTCCCAGTGCTGAAATGACGCGGTTGCCTTTCTTTAAAACAAAGTTTGAGCCCTTTGCCCCGCTGGGTGAGAGCGGAGCGGGTGGGCACGGACAGAGCCGGGCAGAGGGCAGAGGATGGAGGGGGGCTCCCACCTACCTGCCAGGAGACCGGACGCCAGGCCCATCGCCACGGCCAGGCTGAGCGCCCCAGCGTCGTTGAGCACCTGGAAGCCGACCCTAGAAACGACAAAGCACGGGGGTCACCCGGGCATCAGGCTGCAGCGGTCACCGGGGACAGAGCGGACAGCAGCAACGTGGGGGGAGGGTGTGTCCTCTCCCCACAGCCACACTCCCATCGCCTTCTCACAAAGCCACGCACACTGGAGATGGGAAGTTGGGAGGGAAGGTGGACCTTAGGGTCCCCTCTGGCTTCCTCTGGCCCTGGGATCCCAGGGATAATGAACCAGGCCACAAATCAGAAAACCCACGTTCAAGTCCCAGCTGTGTGGCGCTGGGCAAGTTGCCTCCGTCTCCATCCCCGGTTTACGTTAGAAATGAGACGAAGGCTTCCTTCCTCCCCGGGACGAGATGGGGTACAGCATGGCCGCCACACCCTCCCCCTGCCCACCATACGCCCCGAGCCCTCTCCTCTAGCGACCTCGGGCCCATCAACTTCATGTTAAACTGTTACGGAGACCCTGGGTGCTGGCTGTGGGTCTCCCAGGGTTAGGCCTGCACCTGCGCACTGCCGGTCCCCTCACGGTGGCCCCAGGACACTTGCTCGGAACCAGCTAGTGTCTGAGTCTTTCCTGCTTCTTGTCTCAATGGTTCCACAAAATGGGGGCGGCCTACGGCCCCAATCTGAAGAGCAGGAAAGCACAGCTCAGAGCCTGCAGCCTCGTGGGGCGGACTGCTTCTGCGACCTTGGCCCGGTCACTTCAGCTCCCTCTGCTGAACCCTTGTCACAATGCAGAAGCAGTGACTGCACCTTCCTTACAGGGGATCCGGGCACAGGGAGCTCCCACACTGCCGCTCACGTGTGAGCGCGGGGCTCAGCGATGACGGACCACTGCCCAACTGCCCACTCAGCACGCCCCCACCCCCTGGAACGCTCCAGGCCCCCATTCTGCCGGCCTGGGCTATCTGGAGCAGTCTGCTTCTTCTCTAGCCCCCAACACAACCCAGGGTATCAGAAGCTCAGGGGACGTCCCTCTACCCCTCCTGGACTTTTGGGGCTAATGTAATCCCATGCCACTCTTGCTTTATAAAAAACAAAAGGGGGGAATGTTAATATAATGGCACAGTCATATCTATGGTGTAATCTACACCCCGGACACCATCCTAGGCTCTAGTCCCCGCCACCCTGGCTGGAAGCCAGGTGGCCACATGGCCCAACTACCGGTGTCAGCTCCACCCCCACCCTAATGGGATTCGCTGCTCCTGCTTCCCTGCCCGCCCCCCAGCAAAGGTTTAACAGGACCTGTTCCTGAACACGTGGCTCTCTCTATGTCTCTCTGTCTCTCTGTCTCTCTGTCTCTCTCTCTGGAGTTCCAGGCTCCTGGCTTGGCCTGACCTGCCCTGGTCATTGAGGCCATCTGAGGAGTGAACCAGAGGATGGAAGATCTCTATCCCTGTGTCTCTCCCTAACTCGGCCTTTTAAAATAAACAAATAAATAAATATTAAGATCATAATAGTATAATATTATATATAATAATTATAATATCTTATATATTATGTATATTATATATTATATAAGTATAATATATAATAATATTGCATATTATAATATATATTATATTATTTATTATATATATTTATTAATTATTTATTTGAAAGAGTTACACAGAGAGAGGAGAGGCAGAGAGAGAGAGTTCTTCCATCTGCCGGTTCACTCCCCAGATGGCCGCAATGGCTGGAGCTGCGCCAATCCAAAGCCAAGAGCCAGGAGCTTCTTCTGGGTCTCCCAAGAGGGTACAGGGGCCCAAGGACTTGGGCCATCTTCTACTGCTTCCCCAGGCCATAGCAGAGAGCTAGATCAGAAGAGGAGCAGCCAGGACTAGAACTGGCACTCAAATGGGATGCTGGCACTGCAGGCCAGGCATAAACCCACTGCACCACAGCACTGGCCCCAAGATTTATTTATTTATTTTTAAAGGCATAGTTACAGAGAGGCAGAGGTAGAGAGAGAGGTCTTCCATCTGCTGGTTCACTCCCCAAATGGCCACAACAGCCAGAGCTGTGCCGATCCAAAGCCAGGAGCCAGGAGCCAGAAACTCAGTGTGGGTCTTTCATGTGGTTGGCAGAGGCCCAAGCCATTGGGCCATCTTCCAGTGCTTTCCCAGGCGCATTAGCAGGGAGCCGGATCGGAAGTAGAGCAGCCGGGACTTGAACCGGGGCTCACATGAGATGCTGTCGCTGCTGCGCCACAACACTGGCCCCAGATTTTTAAAAAGCAAAAACATCAAGCGTGGTAGCCGGGTGGTTAATTAAAGGCGGAAGACACTGAGCGAGCACGGAGAGCACGGGGAGTGGGAGCAGTGCTCGGGCTGCACTGGCGCAGACGGCACAAAGCGCAGGACCCACTAAGCTCGCGGCCGCAGAGCGGGTGATACAGCAATTCACTTCTACGCACGCACTCAAGAGAAGCGCATGCATATGCTGCAGGGAGTGAAGACGAAACACGGCTAGAATGTCCACGCTGGCTCCCAACAGGAAACTCCCCAGGCTCATCAACGATGGATAAACAAACCGTGCTGTGTTCAAACAAACTTGTTTAAGCATCTTTTCTTGGAGCCAGTAGTTGTCGCTCCCACGTTTGCTCATCACGGGCCGGGCTCGCAGCCCATGCTGGAGGCCTCACTCCCCGGCCAGTCACTTTTGTGGGTGTGGGAAACTGATCCGTAAACCCCTCACCCACCAACTCACACGTGTGTGTTCCCTGCCAGCCCCGTGGGGGACATCCCCACCCAGTCACCCCCTGCCATGAGTCACAGAGGCACAGGGCCAGTTCCTCTCTCTCTGCTGCCTGGGCCCTCATGGGAGTTGGGTGTGGCCCTGTGTGGGCGCAGTGAGCCTCTGGGCGACGTTAAACTGCCCTTCCAACCACACCCACCTCTCGGGGTCTCCACTTAGTCATCTTTTTTTTTTTTTTTTTTAAGATTTATTTTATTTATTTGAAAGACAGTTACAGAGAGGCAGAGAGAGAGAGAGAGAGAGGGCTTCCATCCTCTGGTTCACTCCCCAGATGGCCACAACAGCTGGAGCTACGCCGATCCGAAGGCAGAGCTAGGAGCGTCTTCCGGGTCTCCCATGTGGCTGCAGAGGCCCAGTGACTTGGGCCATCTTCTACTGCTTTCCCAGGCCACAGCAGAGAGCTGGATCAGAAGTGGAGCAGGTGGGACTAGAACCGGTACCCCTATGGGATATTGGCACTTCAGGCCAGGGCTTTAACCAGCCGCGCCACAGTGCCGGCCCCACTTAGTCATCTTTGTAAGCGCAGACACCACCACCATAGAACGCTGCCCCCAGTGAACCTGAAATATCTGTATAAGGCTCAACCCCAGCCAAGACTGGCACAACTATGTACAGAGGGAGAGCACAGCCCGACTGCGTGAGAGCAGCTACACACAGGCAGAGCCGACGGATACTGTAACAGCCAGGTTCATGGTTCCCCTGGGACGAGGCATAGGGGGGACCTGGGTGCTGGTGACATGGGCATGTCAAGTGGAACCCTGATGATGTTTGCTCTTTTCTGAACACACTATAACACACTAACAAGGGTTGCTTTTACTTTTAATTTGTAGGTGGCAGAATGGAGGCTGAGCCCAAATCTGCTGACCTCCAACCCCGACCTGGTCTACCCTTGAAAGCGGGACTGGAGGAAGCGGAACTCCGTTGCCATAGCAACCGGGCCCCGCCTCCAGGGCCACCCTGCACCGGGCCTTGACTCCATGCTTTCCCATCTGACTTCACCCGTCCTCACGGTGGCCGTGGGGGTGGCAGCGTGGGGCTGCTGTGTCCATGGTTCACCAAGGGCAAGTCCAGGTCGGGAAAGTGAACCAATGTTACGTGCTGGGACCAGGTGGCTTGTGGGATTCCAACCAGGCTGACCTCAGGGCCAGTGCTGTGGCACAGCAGGTTGAGCCTCAGCCTGAGAGGCCGGCATCCCATACGGGCTCCAGTTTCTGCCCCGCTGCTCCTCTTCCGATCCAGCTCTCTGCTATGGTCTGGGAAAGCAGCGGAAGGTGGTCCAAGTCCTTGGGCCCCTGCTCCCTGTGGGAGACCCAGAAGAAGCTCCTGGCTCCTGGCTTTGGCCTGGTCCAGTCCTGGCCATTGCAGCCATCTGAGAAGAGATCCAGAGATGGAAGATTTCTCTCCCTCTGTCTCTGTCGTCTCTTCTCTCTCTGTAATCCTGACTTTCAAATAAAATAAACAAATCTTAAAAAAAAAAAAAAAAAAAAGGACTGACCCGGCAGTGGGTACAAAGCTCAGCCAGATGCTTCCCACAGGTCAGCACCTGAGGGCGACCTGCCTGGGCTTCGCCATGGGTATTCCAGGGCCGCTATTTTCCTAAAACAGATTTTTCTTCAAATTAGCCTTTTTTAACATGCACATAAATGAAGTAAAAAAGAAACTTTGCATCACTAACTTAAGTGCAAAGGAAATGGGAGGTAGCCTGGGGTCTCCTCTGCTACTGGGGACCCACAAGGGACCCTCGAGCTGGAAGAGACGCCAGCTGCTCCACGATTTCTCTGAGAGCCCCCCCCCCCCCGTAATATGAGCTCGGTGCCACTCACCCCAGCACCTCCCCAGCTGGGTTCCAGCCCAGGGACCCGGCAGATAATGGTCCCATGGGACCACTTCCTAGAGAGTGGCAATCCATCCTCACAAACGAGATGGGACACGCCATGCTTTCTGGCCCAAGACCTGGCACTTAGGCAGTGGCTGATCAACAGTGGGGACGCCTACTGGTCTATTCTCATCACCACAGCCACTCATCTGTCAAACTGTAGCCCTGTCGCGTGCCCAAGTCCCTCTCCGGGTGCAGGAGCCACATCTGGGAAGTGCTTGTGGCCTGCAGGAGGTCACGGCCGGGGCTCTGGGGAGTCAAGTGCACCCCTGCTGTCCGTGGGGTGGGGGACACAGGACCTCCCTGTGGCCCAGCAGCGCACACCCCAGGACCTCGGCCAGGGCCCTCCTGTGCTTTGCGCTTACCTACACCAACTTGCTAGGTCCTCTGAACCACACAGCAGCCCCCCGGGAGCCCTGGCAGCGGAAGCCCTCCTGCTCTCACCCTCCAGCCAGGAGTGGGATGGGCAGAGCAGTCTCAAGGCCAAACCGCACCGTGCACACTCCCCACCACCATGGCGGGTTGAGAAAGGACCCAGCTGGCCTGATCCGCTCGGCCCGTGCTCGTGTGGTCTGGGAACTGAGGGCCTGTGCCCCACACCTCGGCTGTCCCGTTCAGCAGGAAGCGGCCCTGGGAGGTGATGACTGCACTCAAGGCAGGGCGTGGGAAGAGTTTCTGAACAAACCAGCCAACCAGTATTCAGCAGGGCCCACGGAGCACGTGGCCCTGGGCGCCGAGCACATTTCTCCCACCTGGGGTGCGATGTGCGAAGGTGGGAGAGCCCAGCCACTCACCAGGGACTGCTGGCCCAGCTGGCCTGAAGCACCATCAGCACAATGTAGGTGATGCCCCCGAGGAGGCCCGGCAAGCCGAAGGTGTAGTGGACACCGCTGGTGTCGTGAATCCTCAGCACGCGGTGAAGACACACCTGGGGACGAACGGCACCGTGGGCGGGTCTGCAGGTGAGACCCCTGTCCCCTACCCACCCTCTTCACAGAGCCTGGCACCCGGGGCCACCAAAGGGGGCGCATCTCAGACTTGAACGTGCACGCACCTCACCCGGGGATCTCGTTAGGATGCAGAGCGCACAGGAGGTAGAGCCCAATACGCCACATTTCCAACAGACCCCTCTGCCTGCGCTCTGCGTAGCAGGGGCCTGCATCAGCACCACTCCCATTTGGGGCTGAGGATTGGGAACTGGGGCGGAGGCTGCCGTCCGGTGCACTGCAGGGTAGTCAGCAGCGCGCTGGTCCCTATCTGCTCGAGGCTGGCAGCCCTCCACTCAGCATGCCACCCTAGAACGTCTCCAGGGACTGGGTGGGGGGCAGGGGCCAGCAGAGACCCCCTGGGCTAGCCACGCTTTAGCACAGCTGATCAGAGGGAAAGCGTCTGACCTCACCCCAGCTCCACTCAGCGCTCCCTCGGCCTCCTCACTCAGCCCCCCAGAGCCCACAGATGGGAACACCAACGCAGATCTGACCAGGCTCCTTCCCTCCGTAACTGCCACTCCCTCCGCCATAAAATCCAGGCTCCTCAACCGGCACCTGGGCACCTGCCCTCTCCCAGGCTCCAGTCCTAGCAGGCTCCCCGCTGAGCCTGTGCTTCGGCCCTAAGAATGTCTTTGTGTGTCCTGTGGCCATGTGTGCTTCTCACCACTGAGCTTGCTTTCTCTTTTTTCTTTTTTTTTTAAACATCTATTTATTTGAGAGGTAAGGTTACAGAGAGATGGAGAGACATAAAGAGAGATCTTCCATCCACTGGTTCACTCCCCAAATGGCTGCAACAGCCAGAGCTGGGCCACTCTGAAGCCAGGAGCCAGGAGCTTCCACCGAGTCTCCCACATGGGTGCAGGGGCCCAAGTACTTGGGCCATCTTCTGCTGCTTCCCCAGGTGCCTTAGCAGGGAGCTGGATCAGAAGAGGAGCAGCCAGCACATGAACCACCACCCATATGGGATGCCGGCGCCACAGGCGGAGGATCGACCTGCAGCCCCAGCTGCGGCCCCAACACTAAGCTTTCAACACAGTGGTCCTTCTGCCTGGAACACTTGTTCCCACTTCTTCGCCTGGCTAATTCTACTGTCAGCGTAGGCTGCGCTCTGGGAAGCCTTTCCTGACCTGTCCCAGGCTGGCTTGGGTGTGTTCCTGCAGCGGTCATCACACTGGGCTCTGGTCACTTGTCCACCTCCCTCTCTAAACCATAGCTTGAGAACCAGGTTAAGTGTTAAAACACACAAGGGGTCTTCAAAAAGTTTGTGGAGAATGCATAGTATGAAAAAAGTCACGCATAGATTTCAAATGCACCCCAAATGAACGTATCTCCTTTTAAAATGTTTCTTATTTATTTTACTTGAAAGGCAGAGAGAGAAAAGCAGAGAGACAGAGGAAGATCTTCCAACCACTGGTTCACTCCCCCAGTGTTTGCAATAGCTGGGCAGGACCAGGAGCCTAGAACTCAATCATGGGTCTCCCATGGGGGTGACAGGATCCCAAGTACTTGAGCGTTATCTTCTGCCCCCCAGGGTCTGCCTTAGCAGGAAGTTGGACCTGGAAGCAGGGCTGGGGCTCAAACCCGGCATTCCAACATAGAATGTGTGCATCCCAAGCAGCCTCTTAACCACTGCGCCAATGTCTACCCCAAACTTAACTTCTTTTAAAAAAGATTTATGTATTTATTTCAAAGGCAGAGTTACAGGGAGAGAGAGGGAGAGACAGACAGAGAGAATCTTCCATCTTCTCCTTCACTCCCCAAAGGGCTGCAATGACAGGGGCTGGACCAGGCCAAAGCCAGGGGCCAGGAGCTTCTTCCAGGTCTCCCACACGGGTGGGAGGGGCCCAGGGACTTGGGCCATCTTCCGCTGCTTTCCCATGTGCATTAGCAGGGAGCAGCCGGGATTTAATCTACTACACTACAGTGTCATCCCCCACAAACTTATCTTTTAATTCCATTTTCCATGAACTTTTTGAAACACCCTTCAGCACAATGACAAATGGTCTCTGAACAGTCCTCCTTGGGGACAGAGGCGAGGGAGCCGAGGCACCGAGACAGCCAGGGACTCTGAGCCCGATGACGCCCACGTGCCACTTCCTCTGCTGTGCCCGTGGCTCCTTCATCTCGGGGTTTCACAGCCAGAGACACAGGACCTGAGTTCCCACCGCAAGGGGCAGACCGCCCCGCCTTCGGTCAAATCAACCTGTTGGGAAATTCTCCCTTCTTGGGGGTGGAGATGGACCCTGCACAGTCACCGCTCATCCACACTCAGCCCTCACGATCCTCCCTTTCCCTCCTTCCAGCCTGCGTGGGCCCCGGGTGGTGCTCTCAGAAGTGCGCCGTAACCAGCCGGCCACAACGGGGCCCTCCGGTACGGTGAGCGCCTGTTGAGTAATAAAGGAACGAAGATCCGCCCACCTGGGAGAACTAAGCAGCGGAAGTGGCCGTGACCCGGATTCTCAGCCCTGGGTGCTTCTGCTCCCACCCCTCACCCTCCATGGCTCACTGGGGAAGCCGCGAGTCCACGGCACATCCCTCCGCCACCCCAGCTAAACCAGCAAGCCCCTTCTCCAGAGAATTTGGAATTGTGGCCAAGAGATTCCACTGACAGCTTTCTTAGGCAAGACGACATTCCATGTGCAGTGTGAGAGAAGGCAGGCCTACGGCGTGAGAGGAAAGCAGGAATTCAGGAAAAGCAAAGAAAGAGTACAACAGGGAGCTTTTGGGCTCTGCACACTCCAGTCCCTGGTGCCAGCATTTCTGGGTGCCCAGTGGCAGCCTCTTTGGTGGGTTCTATGATACCCCTGCAGCCATGCAACAATTCCCTGTCTGCAAACTCGTGTGGGCTCTGTTACTTGCTCCCCGGCACCCTAACCAATGAACTGTCCAACTGGGGTGTGGGCCCCTCATCCAGGCCCTGAAGCCAACCTACGAAAGTGCCAACTCCGGCCTAATGCAGCCCATGGCACCAACACTCGGGCCCACCAGGGACCCAGGAACCCAGGGTCCTGCTGCTCTAAGCCCAAACACAGGGTGTCCCCGGTCCAACTCCTTACCGGCAAGCACACGGCTCCTGAGACGGAGATCAGCCCAGCCACAAGGCCCAGCCCCATGGCGAGGGGAGGGTAAGGGATCAGGTGACAAGATGCACCCACAGCCACACCTCCTGCCAGCACCGCATTGTGGATGTGAGTCTGCAAAGAAATCGCTGGTGGGTGGATGAGGTGAGGCACAGAGAGGTCACCCGCTTACCCCAGATCACCTGGCAGCCTTCCCCTCCGCTGGGATCCACACCTTCCATCACCAGGCTTATCCCACTGCCACCTCTCGGGCCCAGGGAGCAGTCACCCCAATGGCGCCCCGCCCAGGAACAGCTGGAGAGCGCAGTCGCTCAGCCTCCTGGCCACCCCTCCCGCCTGACCCACCTACTGCTGCCCAGCACACAGCCCCCTCCTCACCAGGTTGATTTTCCCCTGAGGGTGCGTCCAGGCCGACGCGGAAGTGGCTATCACTGTGCTGACCGCGAGGGCGTAGTAGGTGTTGAGCACGGCGAGCTTCCTCTCATTAGGAATGTCCAGCAGAGCGGAGTTGAAACTCGGCCAGAAGATCCACAAGAAGAGGGTGCCTGGGGCCAGAGAGGGTCAGTGACCTCGGGGCGGGGGGGCTCAGGCAAGGGGGATCCTGGAGCTGGCAAGCGCGGGCAGTCACTTTGCAGGCTCTGGGACCTGGGGTGAGTCATGTCTCCCCTCCAAATACTCAGCTTGCTAGAAACCATCTCCTGGGACAGGCTGAAATCTACGGACCCCAGGCCTCAACTGCAGCCTGAGGGCGTGGCATGCACCTGCTGTGTTGATTTCGCCCCGTGGCTATGCTGCTATGCCCTTGCTGCTGTTGGGCGCCTCACGTGACTTCCTCTGAGCCTCTCCCAGCCATCTAGACTCATCCCTCTCCCTGTAGCCTCTCCGAACACCACATTGGGACCATTCTCCTCCTACTCCTGCTCCCTGCTCCCTCCTCCACTCCTGGGCTCTGCTTTCTTCCTTTGTCCAATTTCCCCCTTTCCATTGAGGGCAAAATTGCTCAGATAAACTTATTTAAACTCAAATGTAAGGGCTGGCACTGTGGCATAGTAGGCTAAGCCTCTGCCTGCGATGCCAGCATCCCATATGGGCACCGGTTCAAGTCCAGCACCTGCATGGGAGACCTGGAAGAAGCTCCTGGCTCCTGGCTTCAGAATGGCCCAGCCCAGCTCTGGCCATTGCAGCCATCTGGGGAGTGAACCAGCAGAAGGAAGACCTCTTTCTCTGTAACTCTTCCTCTCAAATAAATAAACACATCTTTTAAAAAACTCCAGTGTAACAGATCTCTCCTCCTTGCTGGCTATTCGTGAGCAAGGGCTCTGGAAGACAATGCTTCCTTCCAAGGCGTGATTTCAACAGGACCCCTGGAATGAGCCCCCCAGATGGGACGCCTCGGACTCGCGGGGCAAGTGGGCAAAGCACAGAGACGTTTTCGGCACAGGCTTCACCCACCCCTCCCACCTTACCCAGCATGGCAAACAAACTGGGGCTCGTGGCCATCTTTTCTTTCTCCTCGACTCCCTCGGGCAGAGGCTTTGACAGGAACCAGGCCACAGTCAGCCCAAAATAGGCTGCGAACACGTGGATGTGCATCATGCTCACGTGGTTGTCCATCTGCAACAAAAGCCAGCGGCAGCCATGAGTGTCAGGTCAATCCCGAAGCTCCGTGGACCAAGTTCTGGCTGGACTGCCGCTGGGACTGCCGTCACGAGACGGCGCTCAGCGCTCCCCAGCCCCTCCCTCCGCGGAGAGGCCGCAGGCTGGCCTTTACCAGCAGCTGTGGGCTGAGGTCCACCTGGGGGGTAAAAACGCGCCACCCAGCCTCTGCCTCCCTGCGGGATTTCAACCCTGCACCAAGTGCTGAGTGACATGCGCTTTGCAGCATGAAGCGGCGGACTGAACTGAAGCCTTTAGCAAAAGCTAAGAGATACACTAATTTTGAAAATGAAAACACAACATATCAAAACCTGTGGAATACACCAAAAGCAGTATTAAAAGGGAAGTTTATAGCATTATGTGCTTACTTAAAAAAAGAGAGATGTCTCAAAGATCTAATGATGCATCTTGAAGACTTAGGAAAACAAGAACAAATCAAACCCCAAATCAACAGGAGGTGAGAAATAATAAGAATCGAAGCAGAAATAAATGAAACTGAAACTAAAAAAATACAAAGGATCAAAACAGAAAGTTGATTTTTTGAGAAGATAAAACAGATAAACTTCTAGCCAGAAAGAAAAAAAGAGAAAAATAAAATAAAATTAGAGATGAAATAGGAGGCATTACAACTGACACCGCTGAAATACAAAGGATCATAAGGAACTACTATGAAGAACTATATGATAATAAACTGGAAAATCTCAAAGAAATGGATAAACTCCTGGATTCATATAAGCTACCAAGATTATATCAAGTAGATATAGACAATCCAAACAGACCCATAACAAGCAATGAGATTGAAGCAGTAATCAAAAGTCTTCCATCAAGGAAAAATCCGGAATCCGATGGCTTTAATACTGAATTCTACAAAACATTCAAAGAGGAAGTAACTCCAACACTCAAACCGCCCCAAAATATTGACCAGGGTGGAATTACGTCCAACTCTTTCTATCAGGCCTGTATTACTTTGATACCAAACCAAAGACATGACACAAAAAAGAAATCAGAGACCTATATCCTTTTTTTATTTTTTCAGCAGAAAATGAGGCTTTATTCAACCCTGGTGGAAGCAGGCCCCAGACCAATGTCCTTAATGAACACAGATACAAAGGTTCTCAACCAAATACTAGCAAATTGAATCAGAAACCACCTAAAAAAGATCATACATCACGATCAAGTGGGATTTATCCCAGAAATGCAAAGATGGTTCAACAGCTGCAAATCAACAAACATCATAAAATCGTAAGTTGGATGCAGGCACTCTGATGCAGCTTGTGGACATCTTAACCAGCAGCGTGGCTGCTAAGCCAAATGCCCACCCCTGTGGAGCACTTCAGCTCCTTCTAAAGCCAGCCCAGAGTCCGCCCGCTCTTTGTTATACCATGCGCCCACAATCCCAGACAGCGGCAGTGACCAACGTGCCGCTGGAGGACACAGGCCACCCCCTTGGCCCCGGCGCTGTCCTCAGATCCCCGTGTGGCTGTGCGCTCGCTCACTTCCTCCAGGGCTCTGTCTGCGTGGAGCCTTCCCCAGCCCCCTAACACCTTGTCCCCACTCTTTCCCCGCTTCGTTTCCCCCAGGAGTGCTTGTGGCTGTGCCATACGCCCCATCTTCTGCCTGTTTCGCTGTACTGGCCAACTCTCCCTTCAGACTGGAGCTCCTGCGAGAGTTCAGGGTTCCCACTGCCCCAAGAGCGCTGAGAGCACAAGAGGCACCAAACAGACCTTTGTGAAGTGAACGGCTGACGGCCAGCCGCACGCCACGACCGCGGTGAGGCCTGGGAGGAGGGCTCGCACGCTGGAGTCTCTCCAGCTCCTCCAGGAGCCCGGGAACCACCCTTGGGGCTCACGGGCCTGCATGCTTTGTTTCTGGAATCTCCTGAACTCTGATCCCCAGCTCTGGGTCCCCGGGGCTGCCCACCGAGCAGGACCCAGGCGGAGCTGAAGTTTGGAGGAGAGTGAGCCCTCAGTCAATGATAAATCCTCCCCGCGACCGTGAAACCTTTAGCAGGTCAACGTGGCAAAGAAGAGAAGAAATGGCAGTGAGCGAATCCAGTCTCTTCAAGGTGTCACTAGGAAGATCCCAGGGAAGTAGGACAAGGCTACAACGCTCTGCGTATAGCGAGTGCTCGCTCATGCATTTGTCTTATTTTATTCTCATTTGAAAGGGAGAGACGGAGTGACAGAGAGATCCTCCGTCTGCTCCTTCGCGCTCCAAATGCCAGATACCAGGAACTCCTTCCAGGTCCCGCAGGTGGGTGGCAGAGGCCCAGGTACTTGAGCCATCACCTGCTGCCCCCCAGGGTGCAGGCTAGCAGGAAGCTGGAATCAGAGGCAGAACTGGGACTCCAGGCCAGGTACTCTGAGACAGGGGATGAGGGAATGCCAAGAGCTGTCTCAACCCCGCCCCACGGGCTGCTGCGTGGGCCATTGTCCATGCTAGCTGCAGCTGGGTGGACCAGAGACTCAGGAGCCCAACCTGATTCTCGCTCCCTGAACTCTGGAACTGAGAGAACTCAGAGGAGTGTTCTTTTCTGGGCGGTTTGGGATGGGGAAACGCAGGAACACGTGGCGGGGAGGGGTTAGGTGGGGTGCAGTGCAAAGACACGAGCTCTCCCGGGATAGGGAGAGCGTGAACTACCTGGACTCTCCAAGGCTTCTGGTACCCGGTGCAGCCCCTTCCTGGGTCTGGCTTCACCTCCTGCCCCTGGCGGGCCTCATACTCAACCTCCCCCCATTCGGCCTCAGAGAGCTCCCAGTGACATTTCTCCCTTCGCACCAAGGCATTGTAATTAATCATTATATTAAACAAAGAGAAACAATAAAGCGTGCCTACGTGACTCCATGAAGTCACAGTGAGATGAAGAAGTGAGAGTGCCTCCTAACAGAACAATGCCCACTAACGGATGTCAGAGGGAAGGTGGAGTTACAAAAACCAGTATCAGCGGTCGTCATAGTCCTAACTGATTCAGGCAGGAATCGTGGTTGCTAAGACCGGAGCGTGAAAGTCTGATGAGAAATAGGGTGTTCAAAGGAACCTGTCTTCTTACAACACGTTAATTCATTACAAAGAGTAACTTAGGGGTCAGCACATATGAGCGCCGTTTCGAATCCCAGCTACTCCACTTCTGATCCAGCCCCCTGCTAATGGCCTGAAAGCAACAGAAGATGGCCCAAGTGCTTGGGCCCCTGCACCCCACATGGGAGACCCAGAAGAAGCTACTGGCTCCTGGCTTCAGATCGGCCCAACTCCAGCCATTGTAGCCATTTGGGGAGTGAGCCAATGGATGGAAGACCTCTCTCTGTGTGTAACTCTGCCGCTCAAATATATAAATACATATTTTTTAAAAAAGAGTAAAACAGTGACTTTACAGTGGAAGATGCTGGAAGACCCCACTGAAGTCAAGTGATCCGAGTCAACACGCCCCATAACGGGACACGTGAAGACTGTGTCTTCTGATACCAAGGACACACGTGCCTTCTACGGAATTCCTGCCAAAGCTGCTCAGCCTCCATCTAACCGCGAGGAACCAAAGACAAGGCCACATTCCAGCAAATAACAGTGCGTAGCTTCAACACAGGTCAAGGTCATGAAAGAGGAAGAAAGACCAAAGAACTGTTGTAGATCAATAAACTGCAAAATTACCAAGGGTAGGTAAATGAAAGATGGATGGATAGATATGGATAGATAGAAACAGACAATAGATAGGGAAGGATAGATAACAGATGACACAGATACACAGGTAAATGGCAGGTGATATGTATAGACAGATGACTGACAGATATATAGATAGATATTGATAGAGACATGTAGATACATAGATAAAAAGGCAGGAGAACTGAGTGCAAAGTGGATCTTGTAACAGGAAAAGTTTTTTCTTTTGCTGGACAGATTATTATTGGGCAGTTGGTGAAATTTCAGTAAGATGATAAAATCACTTCCATATTAACTTCTCAGTTTTGCTAACTGAACAATGGCTATGGAAGAGAATGCCCGAGTTTGGGGGACACGTACACGGAAGCGCTTAAGAGTAAAAATAGAAGTCATGTATACAGACAGGGAGAACCGAAAATCAACAGACAAGAGCCCCCCGCATCCCCTCCCAGGTCACTGCTCTTTCCTTTCCAGCCCCACCCCCACCCCGGCTTCCTGCTGCAGGTGTCAGCCTTGTCCTGCCCCAGGGCCCCATGTCTGCACCTGCCCTCCAGCCTTTCTCTCCATCACTCTCCCCAGGCACCACCTGGTCCACCCAACTCCTTCATCTCCCCTCCAGCATCTTTCCCTGCATCCGCCCACGTCCACGAGCAGCTTTAGTGCTGGTCACCCCCAGTACCCGCACCTCTTCCCAAATCCCCGTCTCACGCTTCTCCGCTTCTCACAGCCATCGCCTCCCACCTGCCCGGCTCACTTCCTCAAGGACCCCACGGCACCCTTCCAGGGAACAGAGCTGGGGGCGCTGGCGAGCTGGAAACGGCCAAGCCCTTTTCCTAACGCTGTTGAGGCCATGCTAAGCCGAACCATGACCCTGTCACATTCAAAACTGAACCCTGGATTCTCCCTCCCGGATCTGCTCGAGCCCAAGGCCTCATGGGCCAGCCACTGGCTCCAGAGCAAACGCTGGAAATCCTCTCTGCCCTTGGTCTTTCTCTGCCACCCCACGTGCAGCCCAGACGCACACCCTGCCAGTTCTGTCCTCAAACGCCGCCAGAGTCCGGCCACTGCTCCCCCAGCCACCTCCGCTGCTCTCAGTGCCCAAGCCCAGATGACCCCCACGCTCCTTTCTGGTCTCCACTCGCCCCTCCCCCTCTCAGCCCCCCAGGCTTTTCTGAACCCAGCAGCCAGAGTGAGTCTCTGAAAACATGAATCAGATGTCTCTCTCCTCTGCTCAAACTCCCCAAGGCGCCCTGTATTTCTCAGGGCAAAATCCAAAGTCCTTTACCCTGCGCCCCCTGAGACATAATAAAAATCCCTCCCTTCATTAACTCGGCTGCCCCCTGAGCCCAGTGCGGTAGCACTGCCGTGCTCGTAGAACGACGGAGAAACTGAAGTCTACGAGGCTCCCCCTGCCCGGGGCGGCACGGGACGCAGGGCAGAGCTGAGATGCAAACCCCGGGCTGGGCTCCCAACTCCGGCGCGAGCCCTGCGCGCCTTTCTGCTCGCCCATCGGCCACCCGCAGCCCCGGGGCTGGGGTTAAGGCGGCGGGGAAGCTGCGAGTGGCCGCCTCTCGCGGAGACATCACTCGCGCAGCTGCTGCCGCACACTGGGAGACCTTGGCAGTGCGCCTCGCTGGGACCCGTGCGCGCGAGGCCGCGGACGCGCACGCGCCCGGGAAGAGCACAGTTCTACGCCTTCCTACGTTGGGAGTCGAAGGCAGGCGGAATCCGAGTCTACACACGCGGCTTCGACCTTACTTGCGTAATCCCACGCCTGACGCCACGCGGTGGGCGAAGCCTCCCGCAGGGGCGCCGCAGCCAAGCCGGCTCCCCGCGTCCCGCTCCCCTCTCCAGGGCCCCTGGCCCTCCCCACAGCGCCGGGACTCACGTTCAGGACCCTCCTGTCGAGCATCCTTAACGTGCTGAAGGCCGTCACCTCCACCAGCGCCATCACCAGCAGCTGCACGAGGCTGGCCTTGCCCAGGACGGCGCCCGCAGAGATCAGCACGGACGTGGCGCTCATGGCGGCCGGCGGAAGGCTGCGGGGCGAGGAGAGAGAGAGGGGCGCTCACGCATTCGCTCCCGCAGCCGGCCCCCTGCCTGCCGCTTTTCAGCTCCGCGAGGACGCATCAGGGAACAAGGCAAGGTTTCCACCCACGGCGGGGCTCCCTCTTGCCCTCAGTCCAGGACAGGGAGCAACGCGCACTGGTCAGTGCCCAGGTCGCAGGGCCCGCTCCTGGGAGCCCGCACGCTGGGGCGTCTGCTCTGCAGGCACCACCCGCAGAGACTCAGTAGGGGGCGCGCCCTGCGGCTCCGTCTCGGCGCGCTGCACCTCCGCGTGGGAGGGCGCTGGGAAGCTGGTGGAGCCTGGCGCCCCTGCTCTGCCGCCCAGGCCGCTGCTCAGCCTGGCGGAGCCTGTGCAGTGAGCATGGGCAGCGCCCGTGTCCCGTGGGAGTGCGGCGGGACCAGAAGCAAGCGCCCTCGCTCCTGCGTGCCTGGAGGGAATTCACTGAGGAGGGAAGCCGCACTTCCAGGGAATCCGTCGCTCGCGCCTTCCTGCTCTCGAGGCCGGGCTTACCGGAGGAGGCGCAGCTTCTGTCTTCAAAGTGCTCTGTGATTCAGCGGGGAGGATAGTCCTCCACACCATGGACTAAGCAAACCTGCAGTGTCACAGCGCTGCGGGTTCGCTGGAAGGAGAGAGCATGCTCATCCTGGAGGGCTTCCTGGAGGAAGTGGCACAGCCCACGCACAGTCCACTGTCGCCTGAACACCTTGCTCTGAGACCCTCTCTGCTCCGCTGCAGCGAAGGGTGATGCGGCTGTGACCACAGCCCACAAGGAGATGATTTAGTCCACATTAGGGTGTTATTCCATCATAGTGAGCTGCAAAACGATGTCACTTTGCTGCGTGTCAGCCCCATTTTACAGAAGAGATCATCGAGGTGAGAGGCCACCAAGGCGAGAAGAAGGCAGGTTTTTGGCCACAGCCGCACAGCCATGAGGTTCAGACCTTGGTGGTCTGGGCGCAGCTGCCCCAGCGTCAGCTGCAGACACAGCGCCCTGTTGACGGCCCCAAGGTTCCAGAAGGAGGTTGGACAAGGGCACGGGGTCCCCTGGGGACCAGGCGTGATTTCCAATGTGGGAGCTCATCACCCCTGGGCAGAGTGTGCCTTGTAAGGGAGTATCCACTCGTCCACAAAGGCTGATGCAGGAGAGTGTGTGCCGGCCTCAGGGGCCAGGGTCGCTGGGGAGCCGTGGAGACGGTCAAGTACACTGGTTGGCAGAGTGGCCTCAGGGGTGGGCCACTGGGGCTGGGACTCTGGCTCAACCACTCCTGGCTGTGTGACCTCAGGCAGATGCCCTAACCACTCTGTGCTCAGTGCCTTTGTAAGGTGCAGGCAATCCCTTTGGAGCTGTCATGAGGGCAAAGCGCGCTGAGATGTGTGCCAGGTGCAGTAAGCGGGTCGGCTGTGGCTAGCGTGTTCCGGGGAGAGTCCCCTGGGCCTTTCAAAATGCAGCAGGAAAATTCATGTTTTGTTCCCCTAGTCGTTCACTGAGTTCTTCTGGGAGGAAAACAAAGGCAGGCAAAGCTGAGAAACAGGGCCCGGCCCTGGAGGGTCGGCCAAGGCGGGACCCGAGCAGCGCCGAGGCGGGACCCGAGCAGCGCCGAGGCGGGACCCGAGCAGCGCCGAGGCGGGACCCGAGTAGCGTCGAGGCGGGTGGCACTCGTTCCGCGGACTCCCGGGAGGCCGGCCAGCGCCCTGCCCAGCAGGAGGAAGCCCACTGTTCTGCTCTGGGAAGCCAGTTCCAGCAGGGCCCCGGCCACGGGAAGCAGCCCCCGAGGGGTGCCGGTGGGGCTGGGCCCTCCGGCTGCAGGTGGCCCCTTCCTGTCTTCCTGGATCGAGTCAAGAGCCAGCAGGTCCCTGCAGGTGTCCCAGGGGGCTTCTTGCTCCAACTGCCAAGGCACAGAGGCTGCAGGCGTGTGTGCTGCTCAGCCCAGGCAGCAGAGACACCGGGCTAGGGTCACCCCTGCCACAGCTCCCCCAGGGTGCCTTTGTCACTTCCCAGGTGGAGCCCTGGGAGGGGTGGGGGGACCCAGTAATGCCCTTTAACAAGGGAAAGCATGGAGAGCTGTCGTTTGCTTCCAGGGCCAACGGGGAGCTGGTGAGACCGCTTCAGGACACAGCCACTCTGGAAGGGTTTCAGCTACGGAAAAACGGAAGCCACGGCCACCACTTAGCTGTGTGAGCCCAGGCAAGTGCCTTCCGTCTCTGAGCTTCCATTCCCTTACCTGTATGCCAGGTGAGCTCCCTACCTGGGAGGATGAAAGAAACACAGCAGGATTTGTGGAGTGTCGGCACAGGGCCTGGCCCACGGACAGCGATGCAACAGCAGTGCGCGGATGGCTCAGCAGGGGCCAAGAGGGGCGGCTGGCGGGGCCTCCGGAGGCCCCCAGGGCCCGGGACGCCTCAGATGGGGTTCTCCACCATCTGGGCAGGGCCGCGATGCAGAGTTGGATAAGACAAAAAACAAGCAGTGAGGAAAAACTTCACCGCGTTCCTCCTGTCAGGGGCCAACGCCTTTGTTAAAAGGATGTCACTTGATGTGTGCGCAAATTCCATGCGTCCCCGTGTGCCCATCGGCCAGGCTGGCAGCCGTGACGCGGCCGTCCAGCACCGGGGGTCCCTTCTGCTGGTTCTCAGCACTGGCCTCCCCTACCCGAGCAGATGAAAGGCCACAGAAGGGAAGCAACGGGGGCGGGGGGGGGCGCTAGCGCTTGTCCGCCAGCATCCGCGGGCCCAGCATCCTTCCTAAGAGAGGCTGTCTCTTTGGGTGTGGTCTCTGTTTCTCTTTGTCTAATATGTTTTTCTTGATTTTTCCATGAACCTACATTGATGGCATAACGTCACAAAATCATAACTGAGAATCAAAGCAGGGAGGCCCCCCGGGAGGGCTGTCACCCTCCCCTGGGCCCTGACCGGTGAACTCAGTGAAGAGGGCTGTCAGACAGAATGCAGGATCAGCTCCACTTACAGGCCAGGTGAACTATGCGTAGTCTTTTGTCTAAGTCTATCCCAACTGTAGCACCACATTGTTGGCAGCTCTTCTAGAACTTTCCCTCTTGGCTCTCCTATCCCCTCAAGTACCCAAAAGCAATTGGGCCATCTTACGGTTACCTGGACAGTTTGATGGACACCTTCCCATGGAAGGGTTGGTTCAGGAAACCATCAAGCAGGACTGCCCACTGCACGCCCACGGCCAGCAGGAAGAGGTTGAAGGCCACGCTGCTCCAGCCGTGTCTTCGCAGAGATGAGGTGAGGAAGCCTAAGCCGAGGGCCGCCATGACCGAGAGGTCCTGGACCACTGCACGGGGAGGACAAGGCAGGAGGAGGGAGGGCCGTGAGCCAAGAGTTGCGCAGAATGGCTGCTGGAAGGGGCCATTCCAGATCCTTCCATGGCCTTTTTTCTGATTGCAGTGCAGGGTGGAGGTGAGGAATGTGGGAGCTGGCGCCCTGGCGAAGTGCGTCCGCCAAGGCCCTGCTCACACTGGAGCCCGGGAACTGTAGGCCTCTTCTGTCTGTAAACAATGCCATGAGCTCGGGGAGCCCTCGGGGCTGGTGCTGGGCACAGAGTGGCCACTCAGGAGCGGTCCCTGCTGCTGCTATTCTGGGACATCGGGCTCAGCCCCCTGGTCCCGCACAGCCCAGACACTCAGTGACCTGGCCCAGGTCACACGGCAAGAGCAAGCAGAGGTGGGCCCAGGGCTCCCGCAGGCACCATCTGATCCCAGAATGGAGGACTGAGGCTAAGCGGGGCCCGGGAGCAGGGCGGAGCATCTGGAAGCAGTGTGATCAGAGCTTGTTTCCCAGAGCCGTTCCAGGGAAGCTCATCTTGCCACGTTGCATACAGGGGGGGCCTGACCTCCACCAACCAGGGCAGGGCAAACCTGCCTGGGTGAGAGCTGCCTGAGCAGGAAGGCCCCGCCCCCGTCTCCATCCTGGGTGCTCCTCCAACCCTTGCTGCAAAAGCCCTGGCGCCTGCTGGGTGGGGAGGCGGCTTCTTTGGGGGACAGCGCCTTCTTTGGGGGACAGCGCCTTCCTGCCGTCTCCTGCACATGTCGTCCTCTGAGCAACTGCCACTTGAGACTGCCTGTTTGGTGACACCCCAGGCAGACCCCCGGCGGGGCTGCCTTCACCACCTGCTGCCAGGGCCCTGGGGTGGGGGTGGAGGGGCAGGCAGCATTATACACCAGGCCCACCGGGGGGCCCTCACCTTTCCTGGCCCCAGAGCAGAGGTAACCGAGGCAGCTAGGTGGACGGGCAGACGGAGCTGCTGGCAAGGAGAGGACCAGCAGAAGGGAAACAGGAGCGTTCGGGTTGAATCCGGCTTTGAAAGACGGTCAGCAGGGGACAGCATTGAGCCTATCGGGTGAAGCCGCCATCTGCAGTGCCGGTTTGAGTCCCGGCTTCTCCACTTCCAATCCAGCTCCCTGCGAATGGCCTGGGAAAGCAGTGGAAGATGACCCGAGTGCTTGGCCCCCTGCACCCACGTGGGAGACCTGGATGAAACTCCTGGCCGAGCCTCAGCTGTTGTGGCCTTTGGGGGAGAGAACCAGCAGATAGATCTCTCCACCTCTGTGTATGTGTGTAACTCTGCCTTTCAAATAAATAAAATAAATCTTAAAAAAAAAAAAAAAAAAAGGGCCGGCGCCGCGGCTCACTAGGCTAATCCTCCGCCTTGCGGCGCCGGCACACCGGGTTCTAGTCCCGGTCGGGGTGCCGGATTCTGTCCCGGTTGCTCCTCTTCCAGGCCAGCCCTCTGCTGTGGCCAGGGAGTGCAGAGGAGGATGGCCCAAGTGCTTGGGCCCTGCACCCGCATGGGAGACCAGGAAAAGCACCTGGCTCCTGGCTCCTGCCATCGGATCAGCGCGGTGCGCCAGCCACAGCGTGCCGGCCGCAGCGGCCATTGGAGGGTGAACCAACGGCAAAGGAAGACCTTTCTCTCTGTCTCTCTCTCTCACTGTCCACTCTGCCTGTCAAAAAAAAAAAATAATAATAAAAAATAAATAAAAAAAAAAAGAGAGGCCGATGCTGTGGCCTAGTGGGTTGAGCTGCCCCCTGCAGCACCGGCATCCCATGGGGCAGTTCGAGTCCTGGCTGCTCCACTTCTGAGCCAGCTCCCAGCAATTGCTTGGGTTCCTGCACCCACGTGGAAGAACCGGATGGAGCTCCTGGCTCCTGGCTTTGGTCTGGCCCAGCCCTGACTGTTGTAGCCATTTGGGGAGTGAACCAGCGGATGGAAGATCTCTCTCTCTCTCTGCCTTTCCCTCTCTGTAACTCTTTCAAATAAATAAATAAAAATCTTTAAAAAAAGAAAAAGAAAAAGAAAGGAAAGGTGTTCAGCAGTCTGGGCTTCAGACCTCCACAAAGTTGGGTTCGGGTCAGAGCTGTGGCACTTCCTAGCTGTGTGACCTTGGTCTACTTCCTCAACCTCTCTGAGCCTCAGTAGCAGCCTGCATTTGTTCATCGTTCACCATGTGCCACCCTGGGTTGGTCACTTGGCGTAGACTCTCTTCCCACTCTCACAGCCACTCTTTGAGGTGAGTGCTGTTACTGTTACCATCCTACAGATATGAAAACTGAGGTACAGAGCATTCAGGAACTTGCCCCAGCCCATACAGCCAGGATTGAAACTCCCAAAACATTCATGGAAATGGTATTATGGAAAAACGAGACATGGGTTTCAAATGTATTTGCACCAAGTTAAATGCATCTCTTAATCCCATTTTCCCATGAACTTTTTTTTTCCAAAGATTTACTTATTTGAAAGAGTTACAGAGGAGGAGAGGCAGAGACAGAGAGAGAGAGGTCTTCCATCCACTGGTTCACGCCCCAAGTGGCTGCAACAGCTGGAGCTGAGCCGATCTGGAGCCAGGAGCCAGGAGCTTCCTCCAGGTCTCCTATGCGGGTGCAGGGGTCCAAGGACTTGGGCCATCTTCCACTGCTTTCCCAGGCCACAACAGAGAGCCGGATTGGAAGTGCTGCAGCTGGGACACGAACCAGTGACCATATGAGATGCCAGTGCTGCAGGTGGCAGCTTTTACCCGCTACGCCACCACGCCAGCCCCCCAGGAACTTTTACAAGTGCCTTCATGTCTGCTCTCTTCCCGGTCCCATCTGCTAAATGGGAAAATTGCTGTCCCCAACCAGGGTGCCAGAATCAAATGCGTGGAGTTGCTCAGGATAGGAACAACTATTTTGCAATAAACACCAACTATTTTTACACATGTATAGACGCCAAAGATGGATCTGGAAGGATTTTTATTTTCTTCCCCATGGATATTATCTCTGGATGTGGGAGATTTCTTTACTTTTGCTGTTGGTGTTTAAAGTTTCAGCAGGCCGGCGCCGTGGCTCAATAGGCTAATCCTCCGCCTTGCGGCACTGGCACACCGGGTTCTAGTCCCGGTCGGGGTGCCGGATTCTGTCCCGGTTGCCCCTCTTCCAGGCCAGCTCTCTGCTGTGGCCCGGGAGTGCAGTGGAGGATGGCCCAAGCCCTTGGGCCCTGCACCCCATGGGAGACCAGGAGAAGTACCCGGCTCCTGCCATTGGATCAGCGCGGTGTGCCGGCCACAGAGCACCAGCCGCGGCGGCCATTGGAGGGTGAACCAACGGCTAAAGGAAGACCTTTCTCTCTGTCTCTCTCTCACTGTCCACTCTACCTGTCAAAATAATAATAATAATAAAATAAAGTTTCAGCAGCCAGCACAGACAGTAAACAACTTTAGCAAAGAAGGAGGGGGAGGAGGGAGAGGGTGGGCCTGCGCTGTGGTGCAGCAGGGAAAGCCACTGCCTGCGACTCCAGCTTCCCATGTGGGCACCAGTTCAAGTCCCAGCTGCTCCACTTCTGCTCCAGCTCCCTGATAATGTGCCTGGGAAAGCAGCAGCAGATGGCCCAAGTGCCTGGGAGACCTGGATGAAGCTCCTAGTGCCTGGCCCAGCGCTGGCCACTGTGGCCATCTGGGGAGTGAACCAGTAAATGGAAGATCTCTCCCTCTCTCTCTCTGTTAACTCTGACTTTCAAATAAAACAAATTGGAAGGAGAGGAGGAAGGAAGGAAAGGAAACACCGCAGGGGCTTCGAGTTCTGACAGACCCCGGCGCTATGGTTTTCTATTACGCTAAACTTTATTAAATTGCTAACTGGCGGCCATTTTTGACTTAACACCAATGTTAGTGTGCTTCTCGCCCATAGCCCTGGGCCCTCGCTTGTGGTGCGCATTGTTTACTTTCCTTGTCAGCTACATAAAGGCAATCATTGCCTACCGCAGAGCTCAGCCAGTGCCTGGCTCACAGACAGCGCTCGGGGGGTGCCCGGTGGTGACTCCCCTTCAGCACGGGACCAGCACGGGACCAGCACGGCTCCTGCCCCACCTCCTGCACCAGCACTGCTGGCCACAAGGCAGCTCTTATGAGCCCTCCGGGGTCTTGGAAGCTCCTCTGATTGACACAAGCTGTTCTAGTCCACGCCTGCTGAAAACACCACGCACCTGGGGGCTGGCCTATAAGACCAGGATATAGGAGGCCCCTGAGAACCCCGGGGAATCGTGGGATCTGGGCAGTGGGTGCAGAGCGGGCATCAAGTCTTTGCGCCTTCTCCAGTAAGCTCAAGGATTTTTCCATCTCCTCCTTGCATCCTTTTAGGAATGGAAGTGGGAGGGTGCTGTCTTCCCCAGGTGCCTCCTGGGATGGCTCAGAGCCCATGAGGAGCCAAGCAGGAAACAGGTGTATGAAGATGCACTGTGTGTGTGGGAGTGGTGAGGCCTGCGGCTAATAGCGACTTCATACCCAACTTGAGAGACTCAGATTCAGCCTACGGGATCTTAGGCGAGTGCCTTGACCTCTCTGGACCTCAATTTCCCTATCTGTAACTTGTAAGAGTTGGACTTGATACTTTCGAAGGCCCTTATATTCTGGAATATTCCAAGGAGAGGGTCAGTGGGAGGATGGGTGGAGGAGAGGCGTCAGATTAAGAGTAGAGGGGGACCATAGGATTCGAAAGTCAGGATCCAGGGTGTAGCTGCTGCCCCTGATCCCAGACAGGGGGGCCAGGGCCTTCCTCGTCGAGGGCCCGCACTGTCCATCGGAGGAACTGGGCCTCAGCCAGCAAGATGAAATGAGGCGGCAGTGTCCAGGAGCTGCTGGCAGAGCCCAGGCACCCCGACTGCTCAGCAAATACCATTTGGTTTCAGGCTCCCTGGCCCCTCACCCCCTGCATCCACCCACTTCCTATCCCCAAGACATCAGGGCCACAGCCCAGCTCAGGGACTCCCCATGGGCCTCAGTTCCCGCCTCCCAGAGCCTG